CTCATTATAGTCACTTTCATTTTTCCAAACATGACTTTGTTTATTCGACTTCAAAATTGATGCTGGCGATATCGATTTCATCGGCCCATACATTTTACACATGGACACATGAAAGTGTGTTCAGCAACTATGTATTTATTTTAAATTAAATAAAAGGAATTAATTACATAAATATTCAAAAATGTATACATATACGTAAAAAAAGCTAAACTATTTTAAATGCATCACGGAATATATGACCTTTTCGTACAAAAACATAGCAGTTACATACCGGGAGTTCAAAAAGTTTGGAACCCACTCTGTCTCTGAAAATACTACTCAAACAAAAAAATGATTAGGACAAAAGTTGCAGGGTTTTGAGTGAGCAATCCAACGGTGACCCTAACCATGACCTTCAAGGTCATTTAGAAGTCAACCTGAAAATTTTAAATGGAACCGTATATTTTTGACCCCAGAAATGGAAAAATGGAAATTTTTACGTTCGAATATGACCTTGACCATGACCTTCAAGGTCATTTAAAGGTCAAATTTAAATGGAACCGTATACTTTTTTTGCAGTTACATTTTTTTCGTAAGAGCATTAAACATAAGTTCTTTGCTTACGTTTGACGTTATAGTTACCTTTAGATCATGGTCAAAGACATGGTACAGGTCATTTTTTAATTTTACGCTCACTCAATTTCCGCAGTCAAGAATATCGGGTCATTTATTAAAAATCGACTTGACCTGTAAACGACCTTGAAGGTTATGGTCAAGGTCATATCCGAACGTAAAAATTTAAATTTTTTCCATTTTCGAGGTCAAAAATATACGGTTCCATTTAAAATTTTCAGGTTGACCTCTAATTGACCTTGAAGGTCATGGTCAAGGTCACCGTTGGATTGCTCACTTAAAACCCTGCAACTCTTTTCCTAATCATTTTTTTGTTTGAGCAGTATTTTCTGAGATAGAAGGGGTGTTGCAAACTTTTTGAACACTCGGTATATACAGGCTATATAACGTACCATAAAATCAGAGGCTGCCACGAGACTATCGTCTTTTGTTTTTTGAGGTAGAAGGCGTCGAAGATTATTTTTGAAAATCAAATTTTAGATATATTTTTTTAAACAGCAAGGTATTGCGTCAAAATTTTGTACAAGACAGTGGGTGTCATAAGCGTATAAGTGGGATTCGTGTGATTATTTTCTCATCTTAGTCCAATACGTGTTGTTGGAAATAAAAGTGGATGTTAGTGGTCTATCTGATTGTAATGAGGGTAATCTAATTAATTTACCAGATCAACGACGTTGTTTGACAAAAACAATATCAGGGAAATCGAGCTTGAAATGCGGATATTTCGGTGAGTGATGTTGTAGAATTGTGAAATTCTTTAACGAAAGTGTCTGTCAGAAATGTTAAATCGTGCGTTAAAAAGTGGTGAAAATGTAAAAAAGTAAAACAGGGAAATAGTGGCAGCAAAAAAATTGAAATTGACAGTGACGTGACGATAATATCTAATAAATTGCTAGTAATTAATAATGAAATAAAATTTATTACAATTCAAACAAATTAATTTTTTTTTAAATCATATCAATGTCCTTCGGTACCAGAAATCTAAGTATACAAAAGATATCTAACCCCATCAGACAAGACCCCTAACTGCTGATATTGCTGGAAACAACTACAAAAATTTCACAGCCATCCTCGCAAGAAATTATGCGATATCCATTGACTGCACGAAAAACAGTAAATACCATAAAAACCAGAAGAGATAGGTCTAGCGAACTATTATACCATTCGAAAGAGAACAAAATTGTTCATCGGGTTGCGCAAAATATACAGGGTGTTGCATTAAAAAAAAATAAGTTAAGATGGTTCAAAGTTGACTAAATTCGGCATTAAATTTCTACCACCCTGTATGAAATTAAGTCACATCGAAATTATGGCAGGGAAACTTAGTGTTTTAGTTATGTCCTCTATAAATGTTATCGCTCTAACTTTATTATTGTAAAATACACGTCTTTTTGAATTAGGCACTTTCTTATTTTTCTTTGTAAAAAAATTAAATACATCAAAAACGCTTAACTTGGGTCGTCTATTAATCACGTGAGGTGGTTAGGCCACTTTTTTACACCCTCCCTTCCCCCTGGTGATACGTGGTGAGGTTGTAAGTTACCCCCCCCATATCTAACATCATGTGTATTTTTTTGTTAAAAAAAACTTCAATATTTTCAGAATATTTTTTATGAAAATCAATAAAAAATACAGCAAAAAAACAGCGGCGGCTGTCAACCAGCGCGGGCGGGGCGACGGAGGATCTTACAAAGATCGACCACGTCAATTGCGTGCCACTTATCGTGATGTTATATCGCAGCTCAGAGCAAGGTATTCTCGGGCCTGGTTGCGCGAAAATATACACGTGATATGTAACAACAACCCTCCCCTCCCCATTGTGAGCAATAGTAATGTTATCCAAAGCCCTTCCTCCCCTATTTGGACCTCAAGTGATTAATGGATGAACCCTAATGAAAGTTCACCTAAATATTGACGTAGAATCCAAAATTGCAATAATAAACAGGGCGTTGCATTTAAAATAACGAAGATGACGTCAACTTCCGATATAACCAGAAACTTTAGATGAACGCCATTATTTTAGTTGAAAAGGGCATGCCCGAAACCACTATTTCCCAAATTTTCAAAATTAAAATCGAAGGAGTCTCTGAATATATCTAATGTCTCGTCACCGTGGGACACCTTGTATATAATTGTTTAACTGTTTTCTTTTTGTTTCAGAGCGACATTTGCGACATGGCTCAACTCAGACTGGCTATAGACAATTCAGACTGTTGTTAAATATAACGAGCGTTCAAATAAATACGTGGTCAAGTTGGTTCTGAAAATTTGGACGTAGGGCGTAGCGTATAGCAAATGAACTTAAACGTCATCTGTCAAAGCGCTATATCGCCGCTATCAATTTGAATATTTTCGTTTTAAAAAGCGTTTAAAATGGTGTTTTCTCAAGAACAAAAAGTGTTTATCATAGAGTCCTACTTCAGAAATGGACGCAAGATTGATGGAATATGGAAGTATTCTATTGAGGAATGTTTCATAGAATTTCAAAATCAATTTCCCGGCGTTGTTGAGTACAAAATTTTTCAAAGTGCAGTTCAGCGTTGTGTTAATGTTTTTCGTGAAACGGGCAGTGTAACAAGAAAAGAAGGAAGCGGCCGACCTAAAAGGCGGACTGAAGAATTAAAAGAAAATGTCCAACAAATAATGGAAAATGCGCCAAGAACTTCTGTACGTGTCTTATCACAAATGGTGGAAGTATCAGTCGGTACCTGCCACACAGTGTTAAAAAAAGATTTGCGTTTGTTCTCCTATCGTTTAACTTGTCAGCAAGAACTTCATGAAGTTGATTTTCCGCGACGGGCTGTATTTTGTGAATGGTTTTTAAACAACTACGGTGAACTTCATAATATCACCTTTTTTCTGATGAAGCCTGGTTTCATTTAAGTGGTTACGTAAATTCACAGAGTATGAGAATGTGGTCTTCTGAAAAACCAGATAACTTTTTTGTCGAGGGCCCTCTACACGCTCAAAAAATTGGAGTTTGGTGTGCTCTCAATCGAAGGAGGATTTATGGACCTATTTTTTTTAATGGTACTCTTACTGCGCAAAGGTATAGAGAAGAAATTATCGCTCCTTTTGTTAACCAGTTGGAAGAAAACGAAATTACAAACTTTTACTTTCAACAAGATGGCGCAAAGGCACATACGGCAGGCGAGACGATGAATATGTTGAGGGAAGTTTTCCAAAATCGACTAATAAGTCTCAAGCTGAACATGAATTTCCACCGAGGTCATGTGATATTACGCCGTGTGATTTCTTTTTGTGGCCTTACCTTAAAAACACTATTTTTGAACTGCCTATTCCTGATTTAAACCATCTGCAGGCTCGACTTATAGACAAGGTTCGTGAAATTAAGAATACCCCGAGCATATTAGAAAATGTCTTAATTCTTTGAGGAACAGGTGTGAAAAGTGCTTGGGACAAGGAGGGGGACACTTTCCGCAGCTCCTTTAATTGTTTGTTATTGTTATCACGATTATTCTTTAAAATAAAGTTATATAGTCATTAACGTTATTGAAACTGACAGCTGCTATACAACTCGTTTAGAAATGAGGTTAAGTTGGTCACTATAAGCTACTCCCTACGTCCAATGTGTCAGAGCCAACTTCGACCACGTTTTTATTTGAACGCTCGTTATTTATCCCAAACAAATGACTATCAATGATTTTTCTAGAAATATTCTAGAATTCCATATTATATGAAAACTTTTTATGACGAACTTTAGGTTTATGTTAAAATTGTCTATAAATCTAAGTAATTCCCTATTCCAGATTTTTCAGTTTCTTTTGAAATGCAACTTTCCTTATTAAGTTTAGTTTTTTAAATTTCGGTTTATCACACTTTCAGTTTCACTTCTAATTAACTAACATTTTTACATTTTTTTTCCCTTAAATATACTGTTATTACAACTAAGTACTATTATACAAAACTTATAATAAATTCCTGTTTATTCTAAAATTATAATATGTTTTTTATGTATTTCGCCAATAAAATTAGTTTCTACGTTATTTTTTTAAATTTTCTGTATGATATTAACATTTACTGAAATAGTGTATAGATATGCCAATTTATTGTTTATGATATGAGAAGTATGTTATTTGTTAATTTAAAAAAAATTAATGCTAAATTAAGTAATTCTGTTGATAACTGTTAGATTTTTTGACTTTCAAAATAAAATAAACTTTCTTTACTTATTACTTGATTGTGCATTTGCGTGAATTATTTCAGTTTATTAAAAGCGTGTGCTTGCAATTTCTTAAATTTTGACTGTCTGTGCATTAACTATGTAATTTTGATTTCAATTTGACGTTATTCACTTATTCAAATTGTATTATTTTCAGATTCTGTATGTTCCAATACAATATCCTCGAATAAAGAATATGTCTTACCTGCTGCCACATCATTCGAGGAAAATCCGTGGCGAAAATCGAAGCCACCACCAGGTGGGCGCTACACAGCATGAAACCGAAAACAGCAGCTATGTAGGACTTCAAGGGCATCATCGCATACGCCAGGAACACCACGAACACGACCTGCCACGTGCCCTCCGCGGCCACCTTCGCCGGAGCGGACTTGGGGTAGAGCGGCAGAGCCAGCGCGCAGAACGTCGCCAGGAAGAAGAGGACGACGTAGCACACCCACAGAAGGTAGGCGTCCTGCATGAACCTCGTGTGGACGAAACCAAGCAGCAACGCGAACAGGATGCAGTGCACGGCATGGTAGACGTTCTGGACAGTCGGCGATTGGGCGAAGAAAAACCCCAGGGTGGCCAGGAGGCAGGTGAGCACCACGAAGAGCGCCACGACGGCGGCCACGCTCGAGTGCTGGAGTTTGCAGATGTAGCGCTGGTAGAGCTGCTCCAGCTCGTCGTTCTCAAAGCGGTGGGGGTTGAGGACTCTGGCTAGGACTCGGGGGGATGTCATAGCTTTGACGCTGTGATCCATGCTGAGGCGGATTGTTGCTTGTCTTGCCGTCTGGCGGACGTTCAAGATACTTTGGATTTCTGGTGTCTCTTTCGTCGTGCCATCACTGGAACAAGGGTTAGATTTGCAGCAATGAATATAACAAAAAATCAAACTACACAATATAAAATATCAGTATAAATTCAAAATAATTTATCAGTGGATTTATTTTCGGGTTGAATTTTGAGTGAATATAAGATTTTCGCTGACAGCAAGATCACGTAAGCTGCTTTGCATCAGCCACCTGTTAAACAAGATTCACAAAATTCACACGCCCTTTCTTGTCTTCATCAACGACGGAGGGCTGTTACTGTGCCCTTATTAGGCGTAACTGATATCATTGCCTGACAATGTCTTTAACGGTATCACCGTTACAAGGCGGATTAAAATGAAGGATCGTGTGGCATTGTTAATGAAATTATGTCTAATGAAACAGTTGCCCGCCTTTCTAACAAATTAAAATTTAATGTAGATAGCGGATTAACAAGTCGCACCTTTGATGTCCTTTATGTGGCAGAACGGAAGAAAAAAGGATACGAAAACAGTTTAATGAATAATGATGACAAAAATAATAAAAAAATTTCGGTGAATGCACAGGTAAGCGTTTAAATAAAATTACAATAATTATCGGAAATACTATGAACTTTTAATACAAAACACACATTTGATTTATTGAAATTATTAAATAATGTAATCAGAAAGAAACATCTTGTATATTTAATATAACTCTGTTGCCACCCAAGGATGAATTTGTTTGAATTAATATCTTCATAATAGAGTAAAAATTCGAAAACTAATAATTTAGAATGTTTTATTTTAAACTGATGTTGTTTAACCATAAAAACTAATGAAGAAGCCTTCGATACTGGTCCGAAAAAAACTCACCACGCTTGTACCTCCTTCTATAATTTTTAAGAGTAACAACTGCTAAATTTGTAAATGGTAAAGCTTTCTGAACTGTTCATTAAAAAAACACTAACAACTACTCCTACATAATACGATTAGTCTCGAAATAAAAGACTACAATGGTGCAAACTGTTGGACAAACATTTTTGTCTATACAGTGTTTCACCCAGAAAAAATTGGGAGTAGATGCGTTGTAAAATCCTTAGTTTCCGAGAAAAAAAATATTAAAGTTTACAACCCTTACATCGCTGGAATATTGTAGTCTCCAGGGTTATTCGCGTAGTTCCTTGTGCGCAATGCGTTCTGTCTCCACATGGCTCCAGGCGATTCCGAATACTGATATCCGATTTTAGCATGAACGTTTTTGCGATAGTGTTTACATTAGTTTTATGGTGAAGCATTTATGTTATGGTGAGGCAAGAGAACATTTGTTAGTTCGTAGAAACTGGGTAAGACGAGCCTACGTGGGTGGACCAAATTTTGAATAAGGTATGTCAAATTATTTTACTAATTAAAACTGCAAATAAAGTTTATTAATTAATAATAACAATAGCGGCAAAAGCAGTTGAGTTTGCTGATATAAAATATGTGTTATAAAATTTTACTTATTTCTTTCCTTATAGCTGTTTTAAATTGACAATTTATTCATGAATAAATTGACGAAGTTCTTCATGAATTAACCCACAAATTTATTGGTAAACAGTGTGGTTTTACACAGCTACAGACTTTGTCAAGTTTTTTGACGTTTGTATTCTACCAATGAATCAAAGAAGCAAATAGATTTCAAAAATGTCACCTTTCCACTCATAATTGTAGTGATACAATAGCGGTACCGTTTTGACACATTATATAAATATTAGTTTTTGTAAGTAACAAATCAGTAAAAACAATGCAAAACTAGTACGACGCCACACAATTATTTACATATTCCAATAACATAACCTCATTACTGGAAGTCTGTTGGGTTGGTACTTCTGAACTTCACGAAGAAATTGACGAAAATTAGAACATGCTCTAATTCGTCAAGAACTTGATGAATAAATTCATGTAGTTATTTGACAGCAGATTTGGTGCATTACATTTGTCCAATTTTTTGATGATGCGACTTCATGAATTAATTTATCAATAAATTGTCAATGTAAATCAGCTATTAGGAAAGAAATCCTTTCAATTTTTTGTCCGTACCTACATGCTGCATTCCTTGCCTTGCGCGAGGTCAGGTTTTACAGAGGATCAGTTTCCAGTGTATTTTTAAATCACTTTCGAACTGAAATTATTATTGTAAGAGTTCCCTATACATTCACAGTTTTTTTGGATAAGTTCTGAATCACCCTGTATACGTGCAGAGGACCAAAAATGGCCTTGAACAGAAACGTTTTTTTTCCAATGTGTTCAAAAACAGCCGGACACGGATAAAATTGAAATCCGAATTCATGTTAAATAAATTATTCAATTTTGCTCTAATGTAACCACCCTTTCTATTTCTAACAGTTTCTGAGGTAGCAAAGTTATCTTTCCCGGTTTTAAACATCTTGTATACCAACCAAATCTATCGGTTCTTACATTTCATGACCTTCTTAATTCGTCTGGAAAAATATATTTTAATGACCCACTATTTTGTTGTGTTTTCTTTAATTCAATAATTAGTACAGAAAATATCTAAATACCTCAATTGTTGCAACAATAAATATTATAGGAGACATAAAAATAAAGAAAATAAATGTGGTCCAAGGATAGAACCTTGAGGAACTCCACATGAAATGACACCCCTTTATCAGTTTCTACAAACTGAATTCTATTATTGACATAGTTATACATAGTTACCTAATAGAATAATAGAATTCAGTTTGTAGAAACTGATAAAGGGGAGTTATATCGGGGTGTCGTTTCATGTGGAGTACTTCAAGGTTCTATCCTTAGACCACTTTTATTTACTATATATACGTGATGTGATTTGTATAGTTGTTTATAAAATAGTAAGGTACACATTTATGCAGACAATGCTCTGATCTATTTATATTTCGAATCAAAAGAAGTAACTAATGCTAATACGGCCTTAAATACTGACATTAGAAGTTTATCTGAATTCTCTGTAAAACATCACCTTGATATAAATGGGACAAAATCTTATATTATGATATTCGGTAAACACAGGAAAACGATTGTACAAGAAAATTTAAAGTTAACATCGCAGGCGACACTTTGGAGTGTACAAAAGTAGGTATTAGAGACGGACTTAACGTTTTAAACCACAAATTAATACTTAATTGTATTCAAAAGGCTTAACGGTAATCTGAAAATGGTATATTTAAGTCGTCATATTCTTTGACGTAAACTTAAAATTCAAATATCGGATGCTTTGGTTCGGTCAATTCAATTATTGCGACGTTGTTTATGTTCTTGTCTTGATAAAATAGAAATCAATAGAACTGAAAAGTTACAAAAATCTTGCTGAAGATTTATTTATGGCATTAGGAAGTTTAAGCCTATCTCTTATAAATTAACTGATGCTAAATGGAACTATGCAGAAAAGAAAGAAAGTTCATTCTGTTGTATTATTTCACAATTTATTATTTTACAAGTATCCTCCATATTTAATAAATAAAATAACATATCGTACATATGTCCACACACTTAATTTACGTTATAGGGGTTTTATTTCATATCCCACTCAAATTCGCTAACCCAAATTCTATATATTCATCCACATACTTTTATTCTGATTTAGGACTACATTAGATAACATTTGAGATACAAAAAACTCTGGTCCTTGAAACAAACCTCAACAAGGACGATATTTACGAGCTTTTTTCGCATTTTTATTTATGCTTCTCATTGTATCATAAAAATATATTGCTGCCGTCTAGAAACTTTCATGCGACAATTTTTTCTTAAGATAACGGTGATGTACACGCTTGTTTTCGTTCTACCAATACACTTTAAGGATTTACCGTCACCGAAGAATGACTGCTTCTAATAAACAACAAACAGCTTGCAGGATATGTGTGCGGTAACACCATCAGGATCAATATTCCCGAGAGACGGGGAATATCTCTTAAGCCCGATATTGAAAATGGCAGCTCAAAGGAACATAAACATATGTTTGTTTACACTCTTCATATACCTTATCCGTGTTCAATATTATGAGGGTTGGCAATATTGAAAGGCGTTTGCAGTTTCTCAATTTTCAGGATGGGATATTAGCTCAAAGGTGTTCGAAAAAAGTACTTACCATGAAGGTGTTTCCCTGCAGGCGATCCACAATTATTTTTTATTGCAATATATTCCTCCGCTGTTAAGATAATTGATTGACTAAAATATAAATTACGTAAAAAATGTGGCAGAATCAAATCAGAAACATGATAACCATTTATTTGATCAACTTCCGATGTGACCGGAAATTAAATTAAATAAGTAGGTACTTATTTTTGACTAACCTCGTATATTTTAGTTCAATCAGATAATAATTCTATTTACAGATTCAGCTATATCTAATATGCCATGCGTTGGACTTTTTTGTGAAATCAAATAATATATTTTTTAAAATATTAAACTAATAGAAATATATATACAAAAAATTTTCTAAAATTCCCAGCAAATGAAGTCAAAGTTCGTCGATACCAAAAATCTAGGTTTGCAAATGATATGGAATCTTATAGACAAGATGATATTGAGGGAAAGTGCGACTCCGAATACTGAAATCCGATTTTACAATCGTCGCTGTGATAGTGTTTAGAATAGTTTTTTTTTAGTAGTTAGTGTCAAAGATGGCTTGCGTGTATAGCAACTCGGAGTTGATGGATATCGTTTTAATTTATGATGAAGCAAGACGACATTTGTGTTAGTTCGTAGAAACAGAGTGAGACGGACCCAAATGTGCTTACACGTCGGTGGACAAATTTTTGAACAGTTGTTGTAACATCAGATATGTCAATTATTTTATTATTTATAATCACAAATTAATTTTATTAATTAATAATAACAATAACGAAAAATAGGTGCTATAAAATTCTATTTATTTCTTTCCTTGCGAAATTCTTTCAAGTTCTTGTCAGTTTTTAACACACTTTGCCGCCATGCCGGTCGCATTATGCCAGGTCAGGCTTTACAGTGGACCAGTGCCGTGCAGAAGTGTAATTTTAAATCATTTTCGCACTGCCC